AAGATGCACGCTACCGTAACCCTAAATTCGGACGCCGAGTTTTTGAAAGTTTCTTTTCCCTTTCAAGAGTTTTTCTTCCGTGTTTTTGTTGTTTTCCGTATTCTTTTCTTTGCATTGGATGATATCCACTACTGGGAGATGTGATAAAGATTTGTGAGCCAGGGGTTGCATAGAGACCGCAGCGCGGTGTGACTGTCAGGGAGCAATTTTGTTTGTGGTGTTCTTGAGGACTCTTCTTTTTTCTTTTTGGGGAATTACTTATCAGCTACTGTTTCATAATTGAAAAGCAATTATCCATGACACTTTTATCGCGGGAGCTGCCTTCAAGAAATGTGCAAATGTGTGGATGTGCAAAAATGAAATGTGAGACGAAAGGGCAAATTGTACAACTTGTAGAGAACAGAAGTTGTGTCAGATGACGTGTGTGGTGTACAAAGTAGAGTGCCTTGGTTGTTCAGAAATCCATATTGTAGAAACAGGAAGGCCGCTCCAGAGAATGGATGAACACGTAAGAGCCCTGCGTAGTCCTCAGAACTATGCAGAGCACCGCCGATAAATAATAGAGAGGAGATGACCATGGCGATGAGGTTTATTGAAGTATAGGGATGTAGAGTGTGAGGGATAGGGACATTCGTGACTTCACTGCTGGCCATCCCCCTTCCTGCCTCCCAAGTTGGTAGGACGATCTGTTTGGGTGGGTACTTCTTACTTACCATTGTAGTTTTTATAGGTGTGTGTCGTATAAGCGCTACTTTTAGTGGATCCGAAGAAGGGTTTACGCCCGAAACGTTATGTAAATTTCTGGAATACAAGAGCTGTCATTACATACCTAAAGAAAATTCGAAAGAATGAAGCTCAGGGAACCAGCAATACTCGTTCAACTTCTTTTCGTTGATTAAGAAGGGTAACGAAAGCTGCGAGAAATTATTGTACCAAATTACAGACCGATTTCCTAAAGGTGTAACAGGCTTACATTTCATTCAACAAGGAAGCAGCTCATACTAAGCTGCACTAGGAACTTTAGAAAGTTTGAGGCTTACATTTGCGAGCCGATCAATCCAACAACACCTATGCTTGGAGTCAACCCATGATTTCACTGCCGACAGCGCAAATCCACTGGTTCTCAAAGTAGTGAGGCTTAATTCCTCAATTCCAGCTCGTCTTCTTTCCACTCTTTCCACACGTTCTTTCTACTTCAGCTAATAAGGTTTGATTATGCTTCAACCAAGATACTGACTTTGCCCCAACTAAGGAAGCATTTAGAGCTCTCGAAACCATTCAAAGAAAGCAGAATTCTTTCTTTGAGTGGTTCCGAGAGCGGAAAGTCGGATCGCTGTTATGCTCGGAGACTATTTCTCCGTCGAACAACTTCACCAAGCGAGCGTGCATATGGGTAAACTATTGGGTCGGCCCATAAGTAATGGCGTTTTTTTCCACTCAAAATATCGCGCTGAAGAAGAAAAGTTTTGCCATTGAGTTTTATACCATTTTGGCAGAGAATTCCTTGCCCTACACGATAGTATCCTTAGTTTTCTTCAAGTTTCTCTTTCCACTAATATTTTAGTGATAAAAATGGAGTGTCAGGTTGACGAAATTGAGCATTTTCGACAGCCTCTCTTTTATGCCCTCTAATTAAAAAGCTAAAACCGCATGGGTCCAGCTGGTAAGTATATGGCTGAAAGGCTACGTCTCTTAGGAATACTAATAATACTTCAAGTGATTCGAAGATTTCAGTTTCGACCTCACAGACAAGCAAGCATCGAACCTAATGCCCTATTCTGTCCAACTGAGAGCTTACGGAATTACCTTATTAACTGAGAATCATGCCAAAGATTGAGGAATCGTTAGAGGTCTTAGAATACTTCCTTATCATTATCAAGCATCACCTTCACTTGAGTGGAGAAGTTCAAAACTTAGTGGATGGGTTCCGCAAGCAAGATGGCCCCCCACGCGATGCTCATTTACAAGGTCCGAATTCCCACCACTTGACAGCTTGAACCAACTTCAAGCTGTCATAAGACGCATCTTTCTTTGGTCATATATACCACAAGGTTTGAGCTTCTTCTGTAGATTGAGAGCCGAGATACAATTCAAAAAGTAGTTGTCGAAAACTCACTTTTGGGTCGACCCGAATTTTCCATTTAATGAAATAAAAATCGGCGGAAATCATGAAATAGTAGGGAGGTAACCACACTATCATATAGAGCAGGAAATTATCTGTCAAACAGTGTAGGATATCAAAAACGCTATTACTTATGGGCCAAACCAATACGTCCTGAGACTGTGCGCAAGCCTACATCCATCGCGCTCCAAACCCATTCTAAAGGTGCTCCATGACCTGTAGGATTCCCCGTCCCCAACCCTGTCAGACATGTCTAGCGGAGCCCATAGAGGTCACACCTGCGAAATCCCTTATTGTCTACAACGGAGCACTCTGAGGGGAAAATGAGCTAGATTAGGGTTAGCACAAGCTTATCACAAGTGTATTACAGAACAGGACTTCATTTTTACACCAGATGAAAAATAGGATAAAAGAGGTGAATTTCTGTTAAAGTAGTGATATTAGTGAGATGAATGAGACTCACCTCTTGTCCGAGAGCCTTTCTAATCTATCCCATTCTTCTTGGTACGTTTCAAACAGCTTCCTTGGATCGCGACCATACAACTCCTTTTTCTCTTTAAATTTTTTCGGCACTGGAAAACAGAATCCTTTCAGAAAGCTGTGCCCATAGCACATTTTTGATTCATTACCTCGATCCTCAGGACTTCCTGATCGGGATTGGTGACGAGAATGGGAGGCAGACGTGACCTCATTCTCAGTAAGAATAATTGGCACTATAGGTGTTGGTTCAACTCGCTGAAAATAACGAAAATTCAACCTCGGTACTTCGACCTTCTTGCTCGTCAGATGATAAAAGGCAGTAGCAATGGGCATGTGGCTAAAACTTTAGGGCAGACTAAGCATTATTCCACGCGCCCACCTGCACTGCCTATCAGATGGGCGTGTCATCTTCTGCCTCATTGGTCGGTGATCGTGAAGGTTCTGCCCACACGCCCATCACAAACGCTGCTGTTATTGTCGCTTCACGCTTCACGTTAGCCCGAAAATACCTCTCACCTGAATATCCTCCAGAGCAGCTGGAGGTTCTATGACTATGACATGAGGTTCTTCGATTTCTTCATCGCTAACCACCTCCGGCACTTCTATCCGACAAACCTCCATTGGCGGTGCGAAGACCTTGACGATGAAACGACTTTTAAATACATTGATGAATACTCAATTAGACTAATGCCACTAGTTCGTAACCTAGAAGGTCCAACGGTAGGAATCAGCGTATCACAAATGTTCTGACCCTAGGAACTCCATTGGAACCAATAGAGTCATTTGTACCTGTGGATCTCACAGATTATGCAAAGGTTACCCGTGTTGGAAATAAAACTTAAGAACGCAGAGTATTAAAGAGTAAGATCAGCTGGATTCTGTGAGGGAAATCGATAAACAAAGTGTTTGGTGAAACCGCGCCCATTCTAGAGAGCATATGGTCCTGTTTTTCCCAACGATAATCCTAGAATTATTTAGATCTATTGGAATGTTCAGTGTTCACATCAGTTGGTCACGAATAATATTCGAAATCTGCTGTGGGGAAAAAGTGAATTTCGTGGGTGACGTTCAATTATTATACAGAGTTCCGGTTGGGAGATCCACATCGCGGCAACGTGCGTAGACAAGCGTAGAACTTCCACCTGGAGCTCATTAAGACCTCGTGCGCGCTCGGCGCAAGCAACGCCACGTGCCGCTCCGCTTTCACTGCTTCGCCGCAACAAGTACCTTCCACCGTCAGGGTACAGCATGGGGATGTGCGAAATGTCGGTGTGAGTACGACCCCCCCCTTCGAATGGGGTCCAGGCACGACCCCCCCCCCCTCCACCTCCACGGCTTCTTCGCCGACGGACGAGCGATGAGTATATAGTCGGCGAAAAAGTTGTCGAGCGGGGGGGGGGGGGGTATACAATAACTATGCAACGTATATCCCACGGGCGTACAAAATGCATATAGTGCATATAAAAAATTAATACGACCCCCTTTTCCACAAGAAAAAATCAACTATCAAAATAAATTTGTCTTCCAAATACGACCCCCTCCCCAGAGCAAAAGTACGACCCCCCATGGGTTTGACACAACGATGCTGTACCCTCCACCGTCACCCTATGCTATGATGTAACAATCCTTAGAAGGTTCTGATAAACTAGTGATCCAGCACGCGGCTTAGGTGATCAATTTCCAGCGAGTGTGTTCGTATTAAATCTTTTGGGAGCGGTCACTAAATGGGTTGCTAAGGGGTGCGCAGAACAGCACTAGAGCGTGAGAATTCCGGGATATTGATATTTATTGTCGGTTAAAGATCTAGTCTCCCTCACCGGTAGACGAGAACGAGAGGGATAGGGTAACAATACTGCAACTACCTCCGATATTTAGCCATATGATTTAGCTCCGAGTGGACTCGATGATTGTTTAAGAGTTGCTCAAGGAGGGAAAATGACATACCTTATCGTTCACTGGTGGAGAATACATGGGCATATCGACAGAAAGTGTACTATAAACAGGATTCTTGATTACCAGGTCATTTGATCTGAAATGATTATTAGGCAGTAACTCGTTCCATACTTGAACATTGAACACATTTTGTTTGCTTGTGTGAGCAGTGTGCACTATCAGTTGATATCAGTTGATATTGGTTGATATCTTAGCAATCAGTCGAGACGATGTCAAGATGCAAGGGATGAACCCACTCGCGCCATTTCTACCACTGGTTGATTTCTTCCTGAAGCGATCACTATTGGTAGAGAACACGGTGGCGTCGGCTCATTTCACGCATCCTGACACACGCCACCTCGCCCGCAGCGAGCAAGACTGTAAGTACTATAAACGCAGGAGTAGACGCGCACAGCGAAATGCGCAACAAAATCATAGCGACTGTTATAGTGAAATAAAATTGAGATCAGAAATTGAAATAAACTAACCGCTTTTGAAGAAAAGGACTGTCTTCAGATGAGCCTGATTCGCTGGCTTCTTTTTCAGGCGATGGTGGAGATGGCGGTGCAGGCATATGTTTTTCATCGAGAATGTCCTCATTAGTGTCTTGAGGTGGTTCTCGGCCTTCCTGCAAAGCATTACAAGTAACCTCCTTATCCATGAGACGGAGTAGGTGTTGCACTTGAATAAGCATAGGATGGGTAGCTCGTGTGAATATTTCAGTTTGAGACGACTGTCGTCTTGTTCTGTGTTGGACAAAGACATGATTACAACTGTCCCAAAATGAAAGTGCCTCTCAAAAAGCTTAGACACCGCCACGTTCAATACAAGTACGCAGCCACGCCTACCCCATCTCTGAGATTTCGAGTGTACCAAGAAGTCCATGCACAACACCATCTACAGATCAACTCCGTGTATATACATCGATAACTGATATTTTAGTACCATATAGTTTTGTTCGCATTTCTCGGCACTCACTTGAGGCCGTCGCGCCCTGCGTTCTTCCGTTTCGAATCTCTTGAGAGAGTGCGTTTTTAAAACGCTCCCTAGTGCTTCTCAGTACACAGAAGAGCTAAACGGGTCATTCACGAGACAAAAAAGGGTAGGGCGCCTCCCAAAGATAACAGTCAACAACGCAGGAGGAGTCACTTGAGCAACCTTGCCTCTTGACGGCCCTGCCATAGCACGTACTGACGCGAAACTGGTACAAGGTATTTCATTTCATTTTTTCTCCCGTCCACATCACCTTACCCCAAAGAGCTTCGATTCTCAAGAGTGTTCACGAAAAGTGCCTTCAAAGGCAATGGGCACTATGGCTGGGGGTGGGCGGATGTCGCGAACGTCATTAGTGGAGGACTGAGTGGGGTGTGGCCAAACGCCCTCTCGCAGTCCTTCCACAAGTCCGCCCGCCTCCAGCAATCATACCCACCCTCTACACTTAGGAGCAGAACCTCAGGCGGCAGAGGGGCCAGTGAAGAAAAGTAAGAAACTAGAGCTGGAGAAAAGTAGAAGAAGAGTGCTCCATGATGGCAAAAATGTACGAATGAACGAATCACAATCTGTCGTCGACCTTGAATTGATTTGAAAACTTGTACTGCATTTGGTCGGTCGTATCACATTCAGTTATAATAAGGATCCCACCTGAAGTGCAATTGTTCGTTCGACGACATTTTCAAGATCCAAGGCGTCGATCATACCAGGTTCGACGCCGCATTTCTTCCCTACAGCATGGAGAAGGTCTCGAACTTTGAGTCTGAAAAGCAGTTCCTACTGCATAATAAAAATAAAACAAAGAAAATTACATAATGAGCACTCTGTGTACAGTCTGCTTAGGGACAGGTCACTCTCCAGCAACGCGCAGCCGTCTCGGTGAGGCAGTCTTCAGACTTTGCGACGGCAGCGCTTCGGTCGCGCGTTCGACGCGATCGATGCGCATGCTTTCGACTGCATCGATCGCGTCGAACGCGCGACCGAAGCGCTGCCGTCGCGAAGTCTGAACGCTGCCTGAGAGAGTCCAGAGGAATAAAATCACAGAAAATTATGTACTAGGATAAAAATGTTTTTGGTCACTTTTGTTTTAACGCGACTAAGCTATGTCACAGGATGTGGAGCAGTGCTTACTACTCGTGGGAAGCGGCAATATAGACTTTGCAAGCGGGTAGCCTGCGCAGCACTCGCACAAGGATCCAATCAGCTCAAGGCAGCAGTGCTGCAGCGCGCACAATCTCTCAACTTCCTTCGACGTCTGCATCTCTCCAGCCTCTTTGTGCTTGTGGTCGTCTGGTCAACTAGCTAGGAAATACTCTGCCTCTCTGCTACGATCGCACGACTGGAAAGTAACGCTCCACTTCCAGTGTCGGAACTTGTCATAATGCCATATCGACGAGATGATGACGACCAGACATAGTGTGACTTGGCCCTGCTGGAGAGTGACCCCTCCCTCAGCAGCCAGTCGATTATTGCAGTAGTCCAACTGAACTCTCCTATTCTTAGAAATGAAGACAGAAAATATTCCCATTGGTAAGTAGTATTACGTAACTGTAGTAAGTTCAATATAGTAATAGTGAATAAAAATAATAACTGAGCTACTGGATTAAAGGCAGTTGGCACGATAATTTCATGTACACTTTGAAAAAGCAAAGGTGCCCAGTAATGCAAAAATAGTGAAAAAACGGGGCGAAATGGTGGGGAAACCACGAAATGGGGGCTTTATTTCTTCGCTGCACTGCGGCAGTGGACGAGCGAACGGCTGGGGCGGGCGCTGCTTTGGACGAGTCTACCGATTGAAGTTTACTGCTGGCAAAAAGCCAGCAGTACGTTCTACGTCGCTCTACGTTACACTACATTACACGTAGGCACGGGCGGTCCACAACGGCACGTCCTCGTGCTGTGATGCTATACGTCCAATGGTAGGCGGGCGGGCGAGGTGGGCGTCCGGGTCGGTATGTTGCTGCTCAATAGGGCGCTATAAGGGTACCCTCCTTGGAAAGACCCTACGGTCACGGAATTCTGTCCATGCCAGGTCGTATCAATCCTACTCGTCTTTAGGATTTATCGTGCCAACTGCCTTTAAAGACACATGGTACGCTCAAACACATTGAGGGTGTATGAGACTATCAGCCCCCCAGCTGTCGATTGTCGTGGTCTACCTCCCCCCCCCCAAAACTGCACGGGGTCAGTGTACGGGGCCGTGGGAAAATCGTAATTCCTTGCT